ATAGTCTGGGCAGTGAGGGGCCCCGTATGATCCAATAGTCTGGGCTGTGAGGGGCCCCGTATGATCCCATAGTCTGGGCTGTGAGGGGCCCCGTATGATCCCATAGTCTGGGCTGTGAGGGGCCCCGTTCTGTAATGTGATTGGTCGCTCTGTCTCCTAGGCCCGCCTCACCTGCCCGTTCTGTAATGTGATTGGTCGCTCTGTCTCCTAGGCCCGCCTCACCTGCCCGTTCTGTAATGTGATTGGTCGCTCTGTCTCCTAGGCCCGCCTCACCTGCCCGTGCTGTAACACGCGGAAGAAGGACGCCGTGCTCACAAAGTGTTTCCACGTTTTCTGCTTCGAGTGCGTGAAGACGCGATACGATTCCCGCCAGCGCAAATGTCCCAAATGTAACGCGGCCTTCGGAGCGCACGACTTCCACCGAATATACTTCAACTAGACCCCGCCCCCGACACGGACTCCGGGGACCGCCCACTAGGGGGCGGAGATTCTTCTTCAATAGGGAGAGATCACATGACCTGCAGGCGGATGGCCACGTCTGAAGTGCCTGGCGCGGTTCTCCGCTGTAGTAGATGTGCGGTTCTGTCATATGTACACGTGGTAGATGTGTGTGAGGTCATACATGATATGGTGGCAGTGATGATGTCACAGGTATGACGGTCTCCCGGGGAGGGGGGAGGAGACATGTCAGCTGATAATAAAGGAGAGTTTTGTCTAATTTTGGCTCGAGTCGGATTCCCTGTACACCGAATGAAGCTGCCGCATCAGCCAATCAGGTTCCAGTTCCCGGCACAGTATCGGAGGACGTGACTGGCTGAGGTGGACAATGCGGGCTCTTCATGTTCCAGGGGCCCCGCGGACTGTAACCCGTATGGACCATTTTCTGGCCAATCACACTGCAACCTATCTCTTACTGGTCATGTGTGGTGACCCCAGACCACTCCCTTGTTGCCGCAGGTTACCAAACCTTCCACCCCCACCCAGTCCTGGGCTGTGACCATCCTAAACTTTGACCACCCCCCTCTGTTATGACC